AGAACCAAAGAGAAATAGGAAGGTCAGCTGACTAAAGATAGAAATGTTCTACCCAGGTTTTCTTTTTTTAAATGTTTTCATTGATTTCAGAGGAAGGAAGGGAGAGGGAGAGAGAGAGAGAAAGAAACATTGACTGGCTGCCTCCTGCACACTCCCTACTAGAGGGCAAGACTATAACCCAGGCATGTGTCCTGTGGATTTGAACTGGTGACCTCCTCTTGGTACATGGGATGATGCTCAACCAATTGAGCCACACTGTCAGGGCTACCCATGTTTTCTTTACAAAGCAAAACCAGACAAGCCAGAAGTGAATGAATGGTGGTTCAGTCAACATTGGGCACGTCCTGACCATTCTCTGCTGGTGTCTTTGTTTTCTTCTTCTTTTGCCTCCAAATCTTTGCTTGGTCTTTTCCTCCCCAAACACACCTCCTCCTCCTCTAGCCCCACCTGTCTGTGAAATTCCTCTCCTCTACTATCTGGGTAGAAAGCTGCCCTCCTCAAGAGGGCTTCTCTGGTCCTCTCATTCGAGGGGACTGCTCCCCAGCTCTGTGGTCCCTGGATAGCTCACTGTCTCTGATGTTTTTGTCAATCACTTTACAATTACACCTGTATTTTGGCTCCTTGGCATGTTGCTTTCTATGCCCCGTGAGCATGCTATCAAGTCTGCGTGTGTAAGAACTGCCATATGCAGTATGCTGAAAGTACCTACTCTGTGATGGGTGAGGAAGGGAGAGGAAGGGAGAAGGACATTCCTGGAGTGTCTTCCTGCGGTGCCACCACCTGCACCACGGGGTTCAGGATCTGAAGGAGGGGCCGACGCACAAATGAAAATGCTAGACAAGAGATATGAATTTAGACGGCATTGGGGGCCAGGGTGTCTCTTTCGTGAAGAGCACACTGAAACTGGGTCCCATCTGCTTTTATTCACTTGAATATACATTTGCCCTTTAGCAATGCATACAGTCACATCAACCAAAGGTAAAGTTTGGTAGACAGTAAAAGGATTATCAGGTTAGGGAATTGCCTTGAGCCACCACTACCTCAACACAGCCCTGCTAACGCCCAAGGTCCATCCGTGCACTCTCATGACAGTATTGGGAAAGCCGCAGCTTCTCGCACTGCGGCGTCCAGATCCCCAAAGATTGCCCGAGTGCCAGCGGTGGCTGCTCAAATGGAGAAAGCCCCTCCACCTTCACGGGCAGCCCGGGGCCATTCCAGAAAGCCCCCTCTCTGGGCGCTGCCCCTGGGACTGCAGGGCCCCGAGGCTCCCCGAGCGCTGCTCAGCCTTATGCTGTTCCTAGGGTGTTAGTAGGAAGGCAGTGGGTGGCCGTCTGCTGCCCCAACAGGAGAAGGGGCAGTTTGGGCTCTGTGTTCTTTATGTTTCCTTTCCACTCCCAGGTACAGAAGTCCTGCAGCTTTAGGCTGAGGTAGTTATGATTGAACTATTTTTTAAAAAGTCTAACTGGCTTCTACCTTTGTCTAAAGGTTAACAAAAAAAGTAACTCCAGACTGAATGGGGAGAGGAAGACCTGGAAGACCTATAGTGGGAGCCTTAGCCCCCGCCAGAGGGGCGGGTGGGGTATGACGGGCGGGGCGAGGATGGCCAGAGACAGCACTCCGCTCCCAGGCCCCCGCCTCACCACCCCGGAGCCGCCTCCTTTCTGCCCGGAGCCCGAGGGTGAACTCCTCGAGGTCCCAGCAAACCCTCGCCAGGCAGAAGCGCTGCGAGTGAGGCGCAGGACGGCCCGGCTAGGAGCGTCCTGTGTTGTATGTCCCAGCGCCGAGTCGCCTGTCTCAGGTTTACACAGGTTCCTGGAAAGCAGAGCCCGTCCATCCGGGAGGGGCCCGGCACCCCTCTTTCCTGAGCTCTAAACATGCCCCAGGCCCCTCCGAGGGCCCACGGCGGTGGGGCTGGAGTTCCTATGCGACTGTGAGCCTCCTCCGAGACCAGGAGACCAGCGCCGTTAGGGGGTCCTCCGCACGGGAGGCGGGGAGGCCGTGCGACAGGCCCAGACCTGGCTTCTCTTGGCAGCTTCTCCAGACGCCCCCACTACCGCCCTCCAACCCCCCAACCCGCCCCGGCCAG